ATAGACATCAATTAATAAGAAGATGGTAAATATAAATTAAGAAAGACAGATTTAGGTCTTTCACTTGTACACTATGATAAAACACTCTTTTCAAAAAGATTATTACATTTTAAAAGGCTAAAATTATGATGAGCAATTGTGTACGATTTAGTATACAAAATGTTAAAACTAGATAAATAAAATACCCTCCACCCACCCTACCCTCTATATGTAGGTAGAATGCTTGAGTAGCCCTTTTAGGCATAGTGCTCCACACGCAAGTTTGCGCAAAGAGTTAAAATATTTAGTTATTTCTAGTGGCAGGCGTTTTGATAGTTATCATTAGCCCTTTAGCTGACTTCGGACTTCACAGAGAGGGGAAGGAACATCAATATGACAAAATTCAAGGGGTGTGGAAGAGAATAGGGATCTACAGATGTAAAAGAGATAGACAGATACAAAGGCAGAGACAAGGTAAGAGAAGTGCTGTGGAAGGGGTCGAATATGACATCCAGGGGGGTCATGGTAGTTTGAAGTCAGAAGTCAACTGCCGGTTTGAAAGACTTTTTAACTGTATGAGTATACGCTTGCCTAAGTCAACTAAGAATTGGTTACTAAGACATATAAGAGCAGCACAAATCGAAAAAACAGGTAATTTAAATAATCGTGAATACAAGGGAATACTCAAAGTTCACTAAGAGCGTAATTTTGAAATGAACGTACCTGTGAAAAGAGGATGATTTAGTGGAGAATGAAAGCAAATAACAGAAATAGATCTTGTTGAAAGCAAAAACCGTGTAAAGTAGAAGCTGGTCATGTAGAATGAGCATCTTCAAATTATTGCCTCAAATTTAAGTCCCCCAAAAATTGCAGAGGATACATTTTCGATAATTAAAGCTTATGAATAACGCATTTGAAATAACGATTGAAAATAAAGTTAACATGTCCTTAAAAAATAATCTCCAAGTCTTAGAGGGCTCCTTATACCGCGTTATTTTCATTCATCCCAATTTTAGACTCGTATCATTGACGAAACCCTTAAATTACTATGGATAATATATGGTTCAGTTTATGCTAAAGACAGTATTTCATAGTACAACTCACTGACTAATCAAACAGTGTGCCAAAGTTGAGTAGATTTAAGTAAAGTTGATTAAAACAAACTGAAGTCCAGATGTAACGACTTTTATTGTAAGTAGGATTGATACTACCAGCAAATAAAACAAACTGGTTCACTTTGGTAGCTGCATTTGCCCTCACATTAACTGTGATGAAGACCAATGGCCTTGACTCTCTTTTTTCTTGAGAAACCCGCATTCTAATTCACATGTATCGATCCTAATTAGCCAACCGTTTGTTGAATTTGCGTAGATAAGTATCGAAATTGTAAAATCTGCTTTGCAGAACTTTGCGAAGATTTGTACAAATTTGACGCTATAATAACAAGTTTGTGTGTTTACTTTTGAGAAGGAGATCATTCCATTTCCATTTCTTAAGTGATTCTATTGATATAAACGATAAATCAAGAATTGTGAAATAAAACAGACTTCTATGAAAACGACTAACTAATTAGTACAAAAGGGATGAATTAGATTTGCGTAGGATCCAGTCTCATTACCAAATGTAAAGCAGAACAGGTAGTTATAACCTTAAATCGACCCACAAAATCTGACGGCATTTCGAAATGAATAAGTTTAACATTTTCCTTTGATTTCGATCAATATCCATTGTAATGGAGTGTGCAGTAGACTTGCCTCCGCGTGGTGCACCCTAGGCAACGTATACTCTTACAGTGAAAAGTCTATAAACCGGCAGATGACTTCTGGTTTCAAACTACTATGACCCCACTGTATGTCATATTCCACCAATTCCACAGTCCACACCTCAACTTTATCTCTACCTTTATGTCTGCATGTCTGCTTTACATCTGTGGATCTCTCTTCTGCCCACCCTCTTGAATTTTTCTCACTTTGATGTTTCTCCCCTCTGTGAAGTCAGAAGGTGACTAAAGGGCTAATGATAACTATCAAAACTCCTGCCATTTGAAATAAGTAAATATTCATTGTAATTAAAACACTCCATTGACAGTCTGTCAAGCTAACATTTATTTCATTATATTTGTGGTTACCTGGAGGGATAAAATCAGCACACATTGATGCAATGCTGCTGGTTACAATACGTTTATTTATCAAAGAGAAGACCTTGACCTTGTGTGAGAAACTACTGCGCATTCCCAGGGACGCATTCGCTACACCCACGAAAATAGACCAAGTCACCTAAAAACGCAATCTGGTCTAATACAGAAAGCAATAGAACTGAAGGAAGAACTACAAACTGCTTACAAACCAGAAAGCCTCTCTTTACCCTAAAATACTTAAGCAGACACCGAAGTACAATTTTGCATCTACATTCTTGGTCATTCCATAAAAGCAGACACCCCACCAAATCAAATGTGATTATCGGCCCTTGAGAAAATCGATTTCAACTATTCTGAAGATCATTGTCTCCAGGTCTTCACTGATGGGTCATACATAGAAAACCAAGCAAACGTTGGTGCATGTGTTTACCCTGAACAATTCTCTTTCTAAGCAGCAGCGAGACACAATGGACCCGCATTCAAAGGAGGAATAGAGGCCATTAAGATAGTAATAGGCCTGGATACGAAATTCACCAAAGCAGTAATTTTTCGGACTTAGAGTCAGCAATAAATTCAATTGGAAACAGAGAACCACACAAAACAGCCGAGATATACGAATGTAAAAAAACTGTATCAGTTTCTCAGAGAAAAATAAAACGATAGTTCTTCAATGGATCCCTGGGCACTGTGGCATTATAGGCAATGAGCGCACTGACGCACTTAGTAAGAAAGGGGCAACAATTTTACAAGGTATATATCAGCCAATGTCTTTCCACACAAAGAAGACCTTAATCAGGAGAGAATTCAAGACGTCAAGAAGCAACGAACATAAAGCCTGAACACAGGAGAAAGACGTCAAGAAGCAACGAACATAAAGCCTGAACATTTATTTATTTATTTCAAATGACAGGCATTTTGATAGTTATCATTAGCCATTTAGCTGACTTTTTTCACAGGGAGGAGGAACATCAAAGTGAGAAAAAGTTGATTCACAAGGAGGAGGACCATCGAAGTGACAAAAAGTCGAAAGGAGGGGGACAGAATGATGATTCACAGATGTAACAGAGAAAGACAAAAAGACAGAGAAAAGGAAAGATGAGTACTGTGGAAGGGATCGAATATGACATACAGTGGGGTCATGATATTTTGAAGCCAGAAGTCAACTGCCAGTTAATAGACTTTTTTTGCCGTATGAGTATACGTTGTCCAGGGTGCACCACGTGGAGGTAAGTCTATTGCATTTCCCAACGCAACCAACCGGCCAAGAATAGAAGCTGTTGCAGAGTTTAGACTGCCTACAGGACACGATTGCCTGGTGAAGCACCTTTACAGAATGGGAGTATACGCTCAACCAACAGGAGGAAACGGAGAAGATCCATCTGAGATGGTGTCCAGCCCTACAGACAACGACAGAAACTCAGTGATATTGGGAAGTCAAAATTCGACTAAGAGGCCAATGATAAATATAATAAAGCCTGCCACCTGATACAAATATTTGCGGTACCTTTCACATGTTTTTTTCTGGGCAAATTTACGTTCCCACTCACCTTATTGACCTCGTTGTAGTATCGACAACTAAGAACTGCATGCCTGTTGTGAAGATCTGTGTGATTGAAGTGACACCTAGAGTGACACCGCTGTATGTTACCAGGAGTTATTACATTTCAATTTGAATTAATTTTTTTCTCGAGTGCTAAATTCAATTTAATGGCACTACGGTATTTTTGGTGTAGCCGTAGTGAGATAAATCAAAATAACACTTGAGTAGGTAATTGCGGATCTATTAATGACAGGTTGAAGTATTCTTAAATTAGTCATTTACGTTATGAGTGTTGGGAACGATGCCACCCTCTTAACTCGGTGAATACCTCTGTCAAATTAGAGCGACTCATGTTAATGCCTATTGGTACACATTTAGAGGTAAAAGCGAATAAATGCCCTCCATAACTAGCCAACAGAAGGGGTTGCAGATCGTGAGCACTCCCCCTGATGGGCTTTAGAAAGTGTTCGATTTTAACTCATATTCCACTTTCTTGTAATGGCAATTCTTTGTAGTCTTCACACTATATATAACTGATCATAACGTTAGTCAAGTATGACTGAAAGCGAGCTTCAATACTCGAAGCTTAATATCAATTGAAATGATACTAGAGAGAACCCAGGGTAAGCTAGACTTGATGTAATGGTAATCTAGCATGGAATAGTCCACACTTTAAATTAAGCCTATACACCGATGAATAGTAATTCAACACGTGTCTTAAACAGACGTGTATGTTGGCCACCCCGCCCACGGCTACACATTTTCCCACTGCTCATCTAACTCTCGTAACCATAACCTTTCACATTTCGGACATTTTGCGATCTTTTGTTTCGACTTCTTAAATCCCTCCCCTCTGTCAGGCAAATTCACAAGCAGAACCCGAATGCAAAAGCAAAATGAAGCAGGAATTATGGACAGTACCTTTTAGACCTACTTTTATCTGCCAAAGAGAAATAAAAGATACCTAAACCCATTGAGAGAAGTCCTTTGAGCACAGAGATGTATTTTGGAGACGAAAGGCACACGCTACCACTCATGAATACTGATTTAGCGATTTCGGACTTGCTAATCATACGTTGATATGTTCATTGTCAGTTTAAGATTAATTGAAAATTCCACGTTGTTCAAATGGATACCCAAGAGCGAGCGCCTAACCTGTCATTCATATTACAAAAAAAAACAAAAGTGTTGCTAAATCACAAAAAAAAGGAGTTATATCCATACATAAATTTGTACAAGCACAGAGTCTAGTAGGAAGATATCAAGCAGAGAGAAGGGATCTTATAAAACATTCGAGGTAATATGGAATGTGAGCAGGGGTCGAAAAAAAATTCACTTTTCAAATTAACCTGTCGATAGTGCGATAGCGTTGCTATTAGCAACAGGAGTGGCAGCGGACGGTACTACAGACATCGAATTAGAATCGGAAATCGCTTCATCACCGTTTACTGCAGTGGTGGAAACATGATGCACAGAAAAGTAAAGACGCATGGGTTTGACTTCGGGGACTACCGGCTTCGAACAACCATTCTTCTTTATCCGAATCCAGGATTGAGTACAAGAATAAATGCATACGAGATCTGAGATGGTAAAATCCGAGGTAAAGCGCTCGCCACCTTTAGGACAATTGACGGAAACGAAAAAGAACTCAATGTTGTGAGCATCGGGAGGAAAGTTAAATTTATTTCGCAGGAGTTTTTCCAGATGGCCAACAGTCAAGGAAGGCGGGCACAGTAAATAGATAGTGGACGGATGGTCGAGGAAAGGAGATTGGGAAGAACCATCTGGGGATCGATCGCGCCAGAATCGAAGCTCTAAGCTCACCCTTTCTTCCTCCTTTTCTACGTAGGCATTCAGAGTAATATCGCCACGTTTTTCCGGACTTATTAACAATCGGTCACCCTGGGGTAGGGCTAATTGAAATGAAAAAAAAACAAGTGCCTTCGAAATATAATTTAAGTTATCAGAACTACATTAAGCAGAACAAAGCAACAGTTTATACGATTTTAGGAAGAAATTTAAATACTTAAAATATCTAGTCATGGCAAGAAAGTGAATTTGCGTAAGGATTCAAGAAACTTACCTCCGTAAAACTTTCTTCTGGAAGACATTTCATTTTCAAAAACCTTTGGAAGTAATTTGTATACTATTGCTTGAAGAGCGATATCTGGGCGGATGGCACAAAACGGCCTAGTTTTGTGTAAAAGTGTATCACAAACGGGGCATGTGTTATGATTGACAAGGTAGTTAACTATACATGTTCGACAAAATGAATGCAAGCACTCAATAACCGTCGTGGCGTCAATAATGTAGCCTTTGCAGAGGGCACAAGTTAAAAGCGGATTCAGTTCAAGGATCGGTATATTCGTCACCTTGTCCATATTTCAAAAGTAAGCGAAAATAAGGCGAGCATAAACGAAATCTTATTAAATAATGTAAAAAATCCTTTGAAGATACTGGGAAATGCAGCTTGATATAATTTACTTTAGCGTTTATGAAAACAAAAGCCAATCCGATCTTGAATACAGACGAACCGCAGAGTAGTTAGTTATTGCGCCCTAGATTTCATGAATTAAAAGCTAAGTTTTATGTTTAAGAATCCGAAAAAAACGTTTTTGATTTATAAATTAAATTTATTGCGTTAAAATAATTTTCAGTAGTGCTTAAATTTTAACATTTAATAACCTGTTTCACTGATCATTTGATGTTCACCGATCATGTTCATATACATAGAGATGCACAAATGTTAGTCTACAATAGCCATCAAAATAGATATGAAGATAAAGTCTTAATTTATTAATGTTTGTTTCAACAGATAAATATTGTAAATATAATTTTCAATGGGTCTCCAGAATTACGCTTTTCTCTTGTATTTGAATGAGTATTCGCCTTTTGAAGACAAAACAAGCCAAGGAATTTGAAAAAATATTTAATTAAAAATTGGTCAGGTCAAAACTGTGACAGAAGCAAATTTAACACTTTTGAATATTTAGATTAACTAACTTTCATGAACAATGTAAGTGAAGTGTGTTTTACCGGTAATGTTCAGTATATATTATTTTGGGAATTAACTTATCTTAAAATCGGTATACATGCATTATTGTTGAGAAACATGCGATGGGTAACAAACACATTCCATTTCGTGCCTTATTTATACATTTCATTCTCTATACCTCGAACTCCACTTTTCTGCTTCACGTAACATTTATTTCAAATGACAGGCGTTATGATAGCTATCATTAGCTATTTAGCTGACTTCGGGCTTCACAGAGGGAGGGTTCATCAAAGTAGCGGAAAGTCGAGGGGTGGGGACCAGAAGAGCGATTCACAGATGTAAAAGAGGCTGGCAGACACAAAGGTAGAGAATAAGGTAAGATGCGTACTGTGAAAGGGGTCGAATATGGCAAGTAGTCAGCCATGGTAGTTTGAAGTGAGAAGTCAACTGCCGGTTAATAGACTTTTTTGCCGTATGAGTATACGTTGCCCAGGGTGCACCATGTGGAGGTAAGTCTATCGCACACCCCGCTTCACGTAACGTAGAAAACCCGATAATATACT